GCACAGCTAGATAACATGTCACCTAAGTCAATTCCCTTCCTTCTACTTACAGTTTTTCTTGTAACTGTGTTATTTTTCCTTTTGAGTGCTCTAGATTCCTTTGTGCTTCCTGAAGCTTCATTTCCATGTTTTCCTGCTTTGCAAGTGCAGTCTTCCAAAAAATAAAAAAGACATATTAACATTAAAATGAGATTTCATAAAAAAAACTAAATCCATTGTTAAACTGAAATCAATTAGTCATTACAGTTTAATGACAGTGCTTGCTCTTGCTGCTGTGCTAAATGTGATTCAAAGTGTCCCTCTGCAAAGATATCAGCCATCTGTTAGAACAGCCACCACCAGAAAAACACAACATGTGTAAGAGCTTCAAATTATACTTAGGATCACTGATTTTCTAAGAGATTCAGTGTGATCAACAGACTGGTATTACAGAGGTGTTTCTGTGCTTCCTTACTTGAACTCAGATTTGCTCTGCAGGTCACCGGAATCAAGAATATTCATTGACTGATCATAGAATCATTTAGCTTGGAAAACACCTCCAAGATCATCAAGTTCAACTTTTGGCTGATCTTTCTTTCCCCATTTTCACTCTACAGAAAGTAAACTACCAAATTGAGGACAGAAACAATGTGATCTGCAGTTCACTGTTTGCTCCTGAACAGTTCAGAATTACTGTCCTGTGCAGTGCCAACAGTCATACCTTTTCCTTAGCATCTCTCTTGCTTCTGAGCTTCATTAACTCCATGCACAGGCTGCTCATCTTCTTCTGCACACCATCTTCAGACAGCTTGTAAGAGAAGATAAAAGCACTAAGCAAAACTTGGTATGAATTGCTCTTCACACAATCCTTTCCAAGTGTTCCCTCCTGCCCTGTCTTTAGACAGCAGTGCACACGATCCCAAACCAGACATGCTCTATCCCTGTGCCAGTGAAGGGGCACAGGGAACATCTAATCCTCTTGCACAGGAAGCTCAGCAACAGCAAAGGCAAAGCAAGTACGCACTGATTGGTCTGAATACCTTTGACTTGAGTAGTTCACTGGTTCTTGTTACTTCCAGAAGCTGTTTTTTCAGGCATGCCATATTTGCTGAAAGAGATGTTTTCTCCTGCACTGCAGCACTCAGCTTGGCTTCAACCTTAGCCAGATCCTCTTCCAGAGCCTGCAGTTTTTTATCCTGCTCTCCGCGCTCCCTCACTAACGCCCGAATCTAAAACAAGAGAGGCATTTTCTTTATTTCCTATCATTATTCCTCTTAAATAATGTCATTAGCTTCGCCTCTCCAAGAAAACCAGAAGCAAAAGTATTCAAACTGTATTGACTTTCATTCAGAATATGAATCTTTAACTCTGTCATTGATGGGAAAGGAAGTAACAATCACCACAACTGTAACAATCACACACCACACATTTGCAGTCCCAGCATTTCATCTGACTTATTCTGTGTTGCTGAGCCAGTACAACATGTCAAAGTTACAGCAGTCTTAGCTTTGACTTGCAACAGAAGCCAACTCTCCTCTTTGGCTGTGACAGACAACAAGACACAATGTGACATTTGAGACACAAGGCATCACTTAGCACACAGAAGTGTATTGATACAGTTTAAGCTGCCTCAAACTAAAAAATGATGGCAATTAGTAAGAAAACATCTCAGCAAACAGTTCTTAAATAAAACAAAACCTTTTGGGGTAGTGTGCTGGTTTGGGCTGAAGTGGAGTTAACTTTCTTCACAGTGGCCAGTGTGGGGCTATGTTTAGGGTTTGTGCAGAGCATGAGGTTGATAATGCAGAGATGTTTTTGTTGTTGCTGAGCAGAACTCACACAGAGACAAGGCCTTTACTGCTTTCTGTACTGCCACACTGGCAAAGGAATTTGGGGGGTGCATGGGAGCTTGGGAGGAGACACAGCTGGGACAGGTGACCCAAAATGACCAAAGGGATATTCCATACCATATGATATCATGTCAGCATATAAGATGGAAGGAAGAAGGAGGAAGGGGGGATGTTTGGAGTGATGTGTTTGTCTTCCCAAGGACCCGTTACGTGTGATGGGCCCTGCTCTTCTGGAGATGCTGAACACCTCCTGTCTGTGGGAAGTAGTGAATTAATTCCTTGTTCTGCTTTGTTTGTGTGTGCAGCTTTTGCCTGCCCTATTGAACTGTCTATCTCAACAGATGAGTTTTTCTAGCTTTTACCCTTCTCTCTCCCCCATCCCGTTGGTAGGGGAGTGTGTGAGCAGCTGCGTGGGGCTTGGCTGCTGGCTGGGGTTAAACCATGACAGGTAGTGGACTTAGTCCTCCTTTCAACAAGACAGACAGCATAGCTGTTCCAAATCAGCAACAATTAATGCCTTTCCATCAGCAAACCCATCACTTTGTAAATCTCTCAACATCTGGATCAGCTCTGCTCCTCACAGAGCTGTTTGCAAACTACTTGTAAGCTGTGTTATGCAAAAGGCCAATTCTACCAGCTTGTATTTTGCATGGTGGTAAGTGGGAAACTTGACAGGAATGCACTCAGGTACTGTATTCATACCTCCTTCTCCAGTGCCTTCTGTTTCTTCTTTTCCTTCATAAGCATAAGATCTTTTTTAGTCTTCACAGCCCCATTACCTGGCTTTGGAGAACAGGTGTGTTAGAGACAGTTAATGCAATCTCTAGCTGCACGCTAGTTGAACAGCACAGGTAAGCATGAGAGTGGGTCCCTTCACACAGACAATACACATGAAAAGCAAACCTTGCTCTCTCTCTCTCACACACAGGGCACACAAGTATCAGGTTAGGATGAGGTTTACCACTGTACTTTCTCATCAGCATTACTCTGCAGGGACAGCTCATAACCACTGTGACAGGAGGAGATGAAGAAAGCTGGAGACATTACCACTCCCTGAACTTAATAAAAACAATTCTAACCTCTTAACCACAGGGTTTGCAGAATCTCATCCTACATCATCAATATTAGTAAAGCTCTTAACCACAGGTTTGCAGAAGCTCATCCTACATCATCAATATTAGTAAACTGAATTAGCAGGTCAAGGTTGTAATTTCTCAACTTGTTAAGCTATGCATCCCCAAATCCACGTCCTTGCACACGGCACTGAGAACCTGTGCATGCAGTACACCCACTTCTTATTTCTTTCACTGCCAGGTTTCTACTCTGCCCTGTGCAGCCCACAAAAGCAGGAACAGAAACACAATCTCCTTAAAAAGAAGCAGCCACACCATAATTACATGCTGAGCAAGAGCAAAAGAGACCCCAACACTGGAACACCAAAGATGACAAGCCACTCTGTAGTCCCAAGCAATCATCACATGATTCCTAAAGATGATGCAATTTCATTTTCGCCGCTTAGATGCTAAGGAACAGAAGCACAACAGTGTGTTCCATGGTTCACTCAGATGAGCCAACAGTAATTGTATGAAGAGCCTACATGGTTTAATCAGTCAGAGGCTTAGCTGGGAATTAACAGTGCTACAGACACCACACAAGAGACTTACTGTTGATCCGAGGGATGCAAATCTCCTTCCAGTTACAGGGGTGGGTGCACTCATCTCAATGCTCTGACTTGCCTCACCTGCAGAAGGATGGAGAAAAGACTGTTAGAGGCAGAGGGTGTATGTGCACACAGGGAGGGAAATTTAACCCAGCCAGGCAAGGTTATCTGACTTGTTATACAAGAGACAGCAATGCCACCTGGTTATTAACTATTCACAACCTACTCCAGCTGCTTCCTTACTGCAGTCAGGCAGTGCAATATTAATCATCTAGGCACCTGAAAGTTTAGAGAGACACTACCAGATGACAGCCAGCTGTAAGAGTCCAGATTCTGCAGAGCTTCCCCTCCACCATCCAGATCCATATCAGTTTTCACCCAGGGGATGCTTTAGATTCAAAAAGCCCATGAAAATATCACTAAACCCACAGCTAACAAAGCAGTTAAATCATTTATTTCACACCCAGCGGTTCCCCTGATTGGCATAAGTCACATATACAGCTATTTTTGGAAGATGCAGTTAGGCTGTTACAGCTGCTGTTCCCTTGGGCTGGAGCGCAGGCAGTGAGCCCCTGAGAGCTGAGCACATCAGTGAGCACATCAGCACTGACAGCTGTACCATTCAAACACCTCATACCAGTACGTGCAAATCTTAAAGCAACTTACTCCTCTGTCTCCTAACCCCTTGGCTGGCTCCAGAGGACAGCAAAGTTTTCACCCCCTCTGACGACTTCACCTCACAGGAATCTCTCAGTGGGGCAAGTGCTAGAAACGAGATGTGCAGAATAGCAGAGAACCATGAAAGGAAGTGACAGGTTTACAGCTTCAGTGAGTTGAGGTTGGTAATACATTGGAGTTAAATGCACTTAAAAACATCCCAAACCAAAGAACTGGAGCCTCAGTTCTCATCCTCCCCATAAACACAATGTAAAGCCTAAGTCACACGAGGCGGAAAAGGTCTCTTCATCACACTGCTAACAAGATTACAAACTGGTTTACATCCACAGCATTGTAAGGCATCTTATTAGTCACAGCAAGGCATTAACTTCCATACAGAAAAACACCAAAGGGTTAGGGGATCTTAATGCTAACGGGTGAAAAAGTCAGTCTAAAGAGTTAAAAGACAGAAAGCAAACTTGGCTTGCTTTCTTAATCATCTTACAGTTTAGAAGATGCTATTGAATGCCTTTTTCTCCAAACAGCATCTCCTCTAAATAACTAAGTTAATCAAACTTTGACGAAGCAAAAAAGGCTTGTTTTGAGACCTTTTAAGGGAAACAGCTGATAGAAAAGAGGTGGCTACAAGTCCTTCATACAATTACAAAGCCTCAAGCCCAGTACACACTTATCCGCTTTGCTCCAGCTTTCTGCAAACGGGAACAACTCCGTTTAACAGAACAGGTGACACAGGAGAGCCACCAGATACAGCCAAAGTGCTTAATGGCCAGGAACGCCAAAACCCCATGGCCAGGAACTCATCCACCACCCAACGCGCTGGGCAGCAGCCCGACCCGCAACGCGAGCGTTCCCCGCAGCCCGGGACCAGGCGCCGCGACCCTTCCCTCGGTGGA